CCTAGGGGTATTTCCCTACCGGACCCCCCCATTCCTAGGGGTATTTCCCTACCGGACCCCCCTTCCTAGGGGTATTTCCCTACCTCCCCCATTCCTAGGGGTATTTCCCTAGGTATTTCCTATCCTAGGGTATTTCCCTACCTTTCCTAGGGGTATTCCCTACCTTTCCTAGGGGTATTTCCCTTACCCTTTCCTAGGGGTATTTCCCTACCCTTCCTCCCTAGGGGTATTTCCCTACCTTTCCTAGCGGGGTATATTTCCCTTACCTTCCTAGGGTTTTTCCCCCTTCCTAGGGGTATTCCCTACCTTTCCTAGGGGTATTTCCCTTCCTAGGGGTATTTCCCTACCTTTCCTAGGGGTATTTCCCTACCGGACCCCTTTCCTAGCCCTTATTTACTTCCTAGGGGTATTTCCCTACCTTTCCTAGGGGTATTTCGCCGTACTTTTCAGAAAGCTCACGGTACTTCGAGACGGTTCGAGACATCGAGGTTTGTGGACTAAAAAGGCAAATTTTGAATTTGAATTAAAACACAACCAGTGATGTCCCCACAATTTTATTAACTTCGACATGTACGATACGTGAATAATTCTAAGTAGTGCGGCTGCCTCTATTAGTATTGATCATATATCTATATCTATCTATCTATCTATCCTATACACACACAACACACACACACACACACACACACACACACACACACACACACACACACATGTATATATATATATACATATATATATATATATATATATATATATATATATATATATATATTATATATATATATATATATATATATATATATATATATATATATATATATATATATATATATATATATATATATATAATATATATATATATATATATATATATATATATATATATATATATATATATATATATTATTATATTATATATATTATATATATATATATATATATGTATATGCACATATTCATATATGCATGTATATATGGATATGTACACACAGAAACACAATCATGCATAGGGAATTGCTGTGAACAACCTCGATACCGGACCAAATACCCCTCCTACAGCATCCGCGATAAGTGATAAGCTTCTCAAGGGGAATCTATCCCCTTCAGCACCCACGGTTCGTCCGCAGCTGAGCGCATCTCCACAAAAAGGCGAAATGCAGAGCGCACAGGAGCTGGAGTCAGCGATGGACAAGTTCCTGAGGCAGGTGGCGGCGCCCTTGTGGTCCAAGGCCGAGTACCTGCAGCGCACGGCCGGCTGGCGCTCGAGCGAACTGGGCCGCGGCGCCTAGGGGGTCGCGACGCTCCTCTCGAACGCAGACGAGAAGCTGGTGGCGAAGCGGGTGGAACGGTGCGAGGACTGGACGTTCATGAGGGAGGTTCAGGCCCTGCTCATGCTCTAGGGGGAGAAGGGGCTGTAGCAGCTGGAGGCCGTCATGGTCGAGGACGAGCACTACGTCACCGTGAGCCGCTTTGCCGGTGCCACTCTGAGGCAGTCCGTGGAGGAAGGGCTGCTCTCCCCCGCCCAGCTGGAGGACGTCCTCGAGCAGCTGCGCGGCGCCCTCAACCGCATGCACAAGGCCGGCGTGGCGCACATGGACCTCTTCGAAAATAACGTGTGCGTGAAAGTGACCGAGACGCGAGTGCGAGCGACGATCATCGACTTGGGTCTGGCTCGCTTCAAGCAGGAGCGGGACTTCGAGGAGGGAGAGGAGCTCGACCGCAGGGAATGGTCCAGACTCGGCCAGGAGATGAGGGAGCTCCTGCTGGAGGCCTCCGCGCGCCAGAACTGACCAGGGCCTCCGTGAGTTCTGCTGTGCACGGGGAACTGCGTTGCAAGCCGAGCCTTCTATGTAGAAAAAAAAGAAAATGACGTTAAAAGAAGAAAGAAAAAGTTTTAGTGAAAACTAAATATGTCTGGTTAGATAAAAGAAGAAAAAAATAATTATGATAATAAAATGTGGTGTCTGTAGTCAAAACATATGGTAGTGCACCTGTTAATAAAGAAAAAAAAAAAAGAAAGAAAAAAAAAAAGAAATAAAACATATTAACAATAAAAAAGGAAAGCAAAAATGTGTGTAGTGTTCATATATATATATATATATATATATATATTATATATAATATAATATATATATATATATATAACATATATATATATATATATATATTATATATATATATATATATATATATATATATTATATATATATACATACTTTATTTTTTTATATATTTAAACATATATATATTATATATATATATATATATATATATATATATATATATATATATATATAATATATATATATATATATATATATTATAATATATATATATATATATATATATATATATATATATATATATATATATATATATATTAATATATATATATATATATATATA